CACAACATTCAGAATTTCTCAGATGCAAATTTAAGCTATAGACACAACAGAAGTGGACTCGACATCAAGCGATAGTGATGTTTGTACAGAAGAAAAGCTTCTCCTTGATCCACCATCACTTTGGTACCGACGTCAGCGCGGCAGTTTGAGCTCTTACTGGCAGAGTCACATGTGAGGGCGCAGAGGAATCTGATTACCTTTACACTTTCACATCGCTGCATATTCAAACGCTATGATCGCACTCGTTTCCAAATGCAGCGCTCTGATTGGTCAGATCGTGCAAAAAATCCTCCAAATCGAAACAATCTGAAAAATTTCGGCGTTAAATCTGAAAAAATGTTAACACACAATATAAACGCGTCTGGTGCGTAAAGGCCTTGATCGATGGAGCTCATGGCTTCCACAGACACTCTGCCCCAGAGAGCAGTGACACATTGGCCTGAGCCTGGCGTCCAACACTTTGTGCGGCTTCTGCTCACAGTTTGTTTAAACTCTTAACTGGAAAAGTGAAGAAAGCCAGTCAGCCTCTCTGAGTTATCTGCATGTGCAGAGTCTCTCCCCACACGCTGCTTCCCATCAGAATAATAAATTGCAACACTAGATGATCAATTGAGCGCAACAACTTTGTTATCAGCACTTGCTGCTAAAAGAGACAAAACATGTTTAGCTGGTTTCACACACACGCACATGAAGGTGGAAACAGTCTGCCGTTCCAAAAATAACAGAGCAGCATAAACATGCTCAGACAGCATATGATATTTCCAGTGAGTGACTAACAGCTAATCTTATCAGAGCGTTTGGAAAGTTCGACACAATAAAACCTGAGCATGAAAAACAGACTCAAACGGCAGCGAGACCCAGAAACATCTCTGTGGTCTCAAAACGGTTTGAAAACACAAACAGAAAAAGGATGAAGGGCAGGGGGATCCGTTTCCTATGGATCCAGTCTAATTCCTGGGGTCATTTCCTGAAAACGGTCACCACAGCGTCAGTAAAGACAAACAAGCGGGAGAGTGGATAGGATGTCTGTCCGCGCCACGCCGAGGCTGCCTCCTTCACCTCCCATTGTCAGTGTTGCTGGGCAGTTTACCGTGACCCAAACAACTCCGGCGAGTCATAACACAAGCACTCAAAGGGCAGATCAGGCTCCCTTTGCTCGTCTGTCTCCAGCCTGCTATTATAAAACCGGATATAATGACAGAAATGTCAAATAACGCTCATGCACCGCATCCAGCATGCAAACGATGGAAAGCAGCACAGCCTGCGACAGCGGCGAATGGGACGTCTCTAAAGTGAGCATCGCAGCTACATTGGTCTTTTATTTCTTGGCTCTGTTTGTTTTCTCCTTGTGCTTCTTTATCTGCTTAAATGAACTGCAGAGCCTAGAGACTCGAGCTTAATAATACCTCCTACTCACACATCTCCATGTCACAGCTCCAACCCTGCTGTAAGCTGCACAGAGCCGACTGAAAGCATTTTTCTGCAAAGGTTCAATTTAAAAAAACAAACGTAAGAGTGACCTTCCCAATGTGAGGGAAAGTTCAATTATCTACATGACAGCTCTGCAGTTCCTTTGGATTTAACATGTGAAGAACGGGCTGGGTGGGACGAAAGGATGAAAACGTTCATGGTCATCACTGAGGTGTCGTTTCATGAACATTCAGCTCCAAAATAGCTCATCAGCTTCAACAACCCAGGCCCCGTCTGCATCTTACCTTCCCAGGGGGATGGCCAGGTAGAAGACAGAGAGCATCATGGTGCGGGTGTTACTAGTAAAGAGGTCTCCTATGATGGTGGGAGAGATGGAGGAGTAGCTGGATTCTCCGATGCCCACGAGTCCTCTGGAGAGCACGAACAGCCAGAAGTACTGTGGAGAGGAGGAAGAAGCTAATCTGCATATCCTTGTGTTACAATCACAACATTTAATCACTTAGTATTTACATGCGTGTGATTCAGCATCACTGAGCTTCAGTGGGTCATCCTCCGAGACATCAGAGCATCAAACACGGTTGAGTTCCTACTTTACACCAGGTAAATATAAGATACTATTAAACACCATGTAGTCGGTCTTTATAGGTGCAGTCCATCAGTCAAGTAAATTATAATTGTCGCAAAATATTCAGTGGCTTCATGAGCTCTTGTATGAGCACCAAAAAACATGGATTTTCAGAATAAAAGTCTTTTATAATTCTTCTTTCTGCATATGTTAGCACAGTCTGCATCTATGCCCATCATGTTGCTGCACTGGTGCTCAGCACAGGTTAGTTATTGACT